CTTTCCAGATATTTAACCCTAATTTTTACATGCTTGAAATTCACATATACTGTATATACAGACAGGATCAGGCTACTAGACACATAGGCTTTTATGGGACCAGTTGCCTTATACCCATTTCACTGTAGGATTGTCTATGGTGGATCATTCATCGTGCCTGTATTATTAAAATTCATGCATCTATGGCAGCTCGGCTATACTTGGCTTCGGCAACACCGCCTCGATTTACCTAAAGGGGGTACAAGCTGATTCGTCTTATCACTCCCTATGTGTCTAGTAGGATGGTCCGTTCTGTATAAATTGACACTATCATAAACTTCTATTAAAACTAAGTTTGGCTGACTTAACGAAGCTGGCATATAAGTCTGTCGGCATCTCCAAAATTGCAAAAATATAAAGTTTCTGCTCTTATCTTCCCTGCTCTGAAAATCTTTCACATAATAGTTTAAACTACACTTTCATAAACCAACTCTCACTGTTATTTACACAAAATGGGCATAGATTTGGACGATTTTCCAACAGTTGCAGCCGATCTAGTTATTCCTTCCACGTTATTAAAAAAATAATACATCAATCAGAATTTTTTAAATTCAAGTTCCTTTAAGAAAATTGACAGTTCAAAGTTTCAAGACCGTATAACGGTTTCTACATATTCACGAACTATCACTAAGTTGTGCCTCAAATAATTTTCAAAAATTTAAGGTTTTATATTGAAAAAAAACTGTAAAATAATTGGTAACTGTCCAATGTCCAACATTTGAAACTTTTTAATAATAATCTTGAGAATATTTTTGCTGATTCGATTGATGAAAACCAAGGAACAAGAGTCCTGAGGCAAATTTTTCTCCATATCGAGCGCAATGTTCTGATGCTACGAGAGCACAAGAGAACAACCAAAATTTTCTTGAAATCCAGAATGACGGGACTAATTCTATGGACTTGTAGAACATGTGTAGGTACAACACCAATAATTATCACTATAATTCACCATATTAGTTAGGTTAGGAAAAATCGGGCGCGAAATTTAAAATGGGTTCCTAAACACATTTCAACAAATTTGACAGCAATGTATTTCTTATGGGGGATTCAAAAGAGTGATTTTCAGACGGGAATATCTTGGGTTCTGGGCATTTCTTAGTATTTGAACCTATTATACGTCAAACTTTGAACATATTTCTCTATAATTCATGCTCTAATTGTTTTCTTAGACCTATGAATTAAAAATACAAATGATTTTAATTATAAGTGTCTGTTTTCGGTGGACGTACGTCGGGTCTAAAACCAGCTGTAAGAAAGTGAGGTTTTGTGTTGTGTTATGATTGTTGGTGAATTGCTTTTATTTATTTATCACTAGTTCAGTCATTTGTTTTTCCATTTTTTTGGATTATTGAAGTACATCTACTAACCAAGTATGTAGGTACATTTTTATTTCATTAGAATTATAGGTAGGTACCCATATATACTCGTGGATCAAGCAACGACATACGTATTTTATACAAACATCGGCTTCTTAAATTGGTAATATTTTTATTTTAACAATGTTTATTCAACTTTCAAACACTCTCTCAGTTAATTAACATATTAAAAAAACTATTTATACAACTCACTTCCCTAACAAACGTTCTATCACGTCTACAGACGCTTTTAAAATTGAGTTCCCATAAGACATCAATGTATTAATTTTTAAACTAGGAACCCGCGCCAATTTGCGATTCTAACCTAACTAATATGATGAATTGAATGTATCGAATTGAGTGAGCCTGACAAGCAATGGACCAGTCTCACTGTTGGATAAACTGATATTCATATCAGTGTACCAAAAATTAATAAATTAAACTTCGATTATTAGCCTATACTTTGCTAATTTATATTGCAGCTATGTAGTCCAGTCACGTTGTGGTTTCACCTACCAATTTTGAAGTAAGAAGCTGAAAATTGGTATACACCTTCATTATGACGTTCTAATAGTTGTCCCAAAAGTCACAATAAATGTGACCAAGGCTTCTTTAGTCATTGCAGGTCAAAGGTCACAGAAATCGATTTTTTTGTTTGAAGTTCTTTCTTTATAAAATGAACCGTTCTTGAGATAGAGCGCGAAGAGTGGTAAACCCTATGCTCCAGATTTTGACCAATAAATGGAAGGGACCTAACGGTGAATTTTTGCATACACGTTGTTGTTATGGGTCTAAATAATTGCTAAAGTTTCTCATCGATTCGGTGATTATTTGGGCCATTACGGAGGGTCAGAGGTCAGGAATGCGTTTATCAATATCTCGAAAACGGTCATCCTTTTAAAAAAATTCTTCTTAAAAAAGTTATAGATCATTAAATTTGGTCTGTGTATATTGCTCTACAATTAGCCCTTCTTGAGATACAGCGCAAAGTTTAGACAAACATGAGGGGCCATTGTCCAAATGGAGGGGAAACAAGCTGTAGACTCGTATACACTTTCATTTGGCCATTCTCAAAGTTGGCCCAAAAGTCAAATAAAATCACGTGTGCGTGTCGTAGGTCCAATGATTTTAACATCTATTATAAAAATTGTGGATTATAAAATTCACGACAACTTTTGTTCTAAACATTTTTTCATATTTCATGCGCTCAACCGTTTTTGAGTTTGAGACGGCGGCGGCAACCGCGCAGCGCTTAGCAATCCAAGGTCAACAGTGATTCTTGGTGAATACAGTTTTTAAATCATACATATCATTAACAATGAATAATTTCTATTATTTACTAGTTTATACATTGTATTTGATAACACTTTACATATAAATATCTAATCTATTTATTTGATCATACTTACCTACTCACCAATTTTAAGAATGGCCAAATGAAGGTGTGTACGAGTTTACAGTTTGTTATCCCTCATTTTGTGAATGGCCCCTCATCTTTGTTTAAATTTGTATGTCAAGAACGGCTAATTGTAGACCAATGTACATGATGTAATTTAATGATCTATAACTTTTTTAAGAAGACGTCATTTTTTTGAAAGTTGATCGTTTTCGAGATATTGATAAACCGCATTCCTGATTTTTGAGCCTTCTTTGACCCTCCGTAACGGCCCAAATAATCACCGAATCGATGGGAAACTTTAACCAATTATTTAAACCCATAACAATAACGTGTACGCAAAAATTCACCGTTAGGTCCCTTAAATTTATAGGTCAAAATCTGGAGCATAGGGGTTACCACTCTTCGCGCTCTATCTCAAGAATGGTTCATTTCATGAAAAAAAGTTTCGAACAAGTGCTTGGGAATTTTATTATCTCTTACTTTTGTAATAAGTGTTAATATCGTTGGAGCTATAGGAACCGAGATAATCGCAAAAATAGCGGTTTCTGTGGCCTTTGACCTGCAATAACTGAAGAAGCCTTGACCATAACTGCACTAATGGATGACTGAATGTGTTTATAATAGTTTTTATATGCAAGATAAACAGATGAAGAATGGTTCACTTAATAAAGGGTTTGTAATTCTTTGTCTTTTGATGTTCAGTCAGTTTCTATAGTTAATTCTATTTCACTCGCTCTGCTTTCCACGCTGTGTTCGATCGATATAATAAATAAATTGAGAATCGATAATTAACAAGCTCTTTCATTTCTTAGTCCATTTCCCAATACTCACAATAAGGCTTTGGGGCAGGGCCGTATCTAGACCAAAATTTTGGGGGGGTTACACAAAGTGGCAAAAAAAAATTGTTACACTAGTAATAAAAATGAAAAAAATAAATAAGCATTTAATGAGTGTTGTTTGTTTTTAAGTTAAATTTTTTGAATTTTATTATTTTGGGGGGGGGGGGGGTTTGAACCCCCAAAACCCCCCCCTAGATACGGCCCTGCTTTGGGGTCTCCTTTAACAGCCACATGACTTTCAAAGCTCTTGATAGAATGTAAACTATCTTCTGAGGAATTTCCAGAAGTGCCAAAATAAGGGAAAATATGTTTTCAAATATTTTCCAGTGTCCTACCTGTCAGACGCATTTGTCACGCTTACAGATCAAATAACTTTTTTTCCCTTAACTTTAGTATACCTACCCCTTGCTACTATAACTGCTTGGGCTGTGTTATTGCACGCACTTTATTTTCTTTATTTATAGGATCCATACTTCACATTGTCGATTCGAGGGTCACCTGCCGTCAGGAGTGGATTTTACGAGCCAAGACGAAAGTATCAATGTCATCGATAATTGAACTTCAATATGCGGATAATAGCGTCCCGATGGCCAATATAGAGGAAGATCTTCAGGCAATTATCAATGCATTCGAACAGGCATAAAGGAGAATCGGCCCAGAGGTCAACTTCAACAAGACGCAGATTCTGCACCAACCTGCACCGGGCACTAATCCCCAAGCCCCAAAAATAACTATGAATGACAATTTTTTGCAGAACGTAGAAAACTACCCATACCTTGGGAGCCATCTGTCAGCGAATGCAACCTATTGACGCTGAAATTCAACATCGCTTGAAGTGTACTAGCGTAGCGTTCAAGCGACTTCTAGAAGAGAGAGTCTTCAACAATCACCACACCAGCGCTGAGACCAATCTTCGCGTCTACAATGCAGTTGTAATATCAACACTTACATATGGCGGCGAAACATGGACCACCTTCAGAAGACACATAAAAAGCCTAGAAAACTACCACCAGCGATGCCCATAAGGAGGATATTACGGATTAAATGGCAAGACCGACTAACGAACATTAGTGTTTTAGAGAAGGCCAAAACAACTAGCATGGAAGCCCTTATCATTAAGCACCAACTTCGCTGGGGGGTCGCCTCGTCCGCATGACCGAAAGCAAGTGGTCCACTACAGATTCTCTACAGTCACCTGAAAGAGGGAAAACGAAATCAAGGAGGTCAACAATAACGCTACTGCGGGAACACATTGTGTTCGATATAGTCCTTCCGAAGAACGACGAGACTAGCAATTGAGTGAGTTAGTTGTAAGCTTATTTGTAGTACCTAACTCCAAGGTTGAGGGATGCGAAGAAATAAAAAACTTTTCGATTAGCATTACGTAGTTTAATTTAAAGCAACAATAACAACAACAACAAAGTCTCACCAAAAAATAAAATACCTATATTTGAAAACCTGACAATATTCGATATGGCAGGGCTAAGAATTAGAAATATATCCACGGGCGATAGACGATAGCAACAAACTATACACAAATATTTCCAAAAACTCTTGCACATACCTCACTCTGCATTTCCAGAAAATAATATACTTTGCTATAATTTCACACATTTTTATGCTAATTAGGTAGGTACTTACTGGCTACCTTTTTCTATGTGCAAAAAAAAAATCCGTTTCAAAGCAATTTTCTATAACGGTCCCAAAGCAACTCTACGGTGAACATCAAAATACTTATGGCGATTCCAGCTGACCAAAGATAAAACACATTGTGTAGGTGGGATAATTTTAGCTTGGTTACAACTGCTGTATCTAAGTTGGGGATATTGATAGTTCCCCAATCCTTGGATTGATAACCATAAGCTAGGCCTCTAAGGGACATTTTATTTAGGACTTCTTTGTAAGGGCAACCAGAGCTCAAATAAAAAACCATATAGCCTGATCCAATTAATTCTGCCACCTTCAAATAAAATTATGTTAATTTTAAAATATGAATTCAATTGAAATTAACAAAGAATACCTGATGATACACATTATCAAGTTTCATTTTGGGACGTAGGTAAGGGATATTTTTTATAAAATCGAGCGTGACGCCATAACTTCGATTTTTTACTTTTCCTTCTAATATTGAATCAAAGTAATTTATTTCGGTGAAATTATACTGGTCTTGAAGTCTGGTAGTCAACATAGATTTCCACAGCCGAACGACTTGTAGTTCAAGTTTGCTTTCGACTAAGTCACTAATGGTATTGATTTGTTTGACTGCTTTGGGATGTACCAAAAAGGTTGTAACCCAGCCTAAAATTGAGATAGAATAAGAAATCTTCTTTAGGGAAAAAACCTTGATTTGAAATTTTCCAACAAACACTCGTCGAATTATTTTTCAAATGAGGGAACAGGTCAGTCAAGTGGGAAATGCCTCAATTTAATGCAATTTTGGAATTTGGCTGACTACCATAACATAGAGGTCTAGGTCTAAATCTGAGTGTACAGGGTTTTCCCGTATATTTTTGCACCCCACCTGCAGCCTTTACCTTTACAGATAGTACCTTTACAGGTAGATGATAGGTGTAAATACAAAAGTTACACCGTTTTAGCTAAATTTTTAGAATCCATAGTCAGAAACAAAAATTTATTATCAGAAATTTGAAATTTTGCGTACTTTCACCTTTTTTCAAATGAAATACCCTATATTTGATTTTATAGTCTCGAAGAGCACAATTTTCCGATTCCAAAAATATATAGTTTGTCTATATTTGGTTGAGCCGTCTCCAACATATTTGGCCAAATATATTCGAGACCAGCTTAACCAAATATAGACAAACTATATATTTTTGGAATCGGAAAATTGTGCTCTTCAAGAATATAGAATCAAATATAGGGCATTCCATTTGAAAAAAGTTGAATGTACGAAAAATTTCAAATGTCCGAAAATAAATTTTTGTTTCTGACGATGGATCTAAAAATTTAGCTAAAACTACACAACTTTTGTATTTACACCTATCATCTAGGTACCTACCTATAAATTTAAAGGCATAAGGGCTGCAGGTGGGGTGCAAAAATATACGGGAAAACCCTGTACGTATGTATGTTCGTTTTCTTGATGCCTCGGCGAGTGTGACTATGCTTCACTATTTTCTGTTTTTCCGTTTGGCAGCCTATCAGAAAAATTTAATTGATTCATTACAACGGCGCCTTCACATCACTTTCGCCTTGCCCCTAGAGACGGTTTGGGGTGAGGATAGCAGTTGCTTTTCAGGAAAACACCCACGTGAAAAACGCCTAATGTGTACGTAGGTACTATAATTTGGACAAGTTTCGTAATGACAAGAAACTTATTTACATTTTCTCCCACTATTCGAAAGTACCAGCTACTTACTCAATATTTTAGCCAATATGTACTTACATTGAAATGCTTGCGTGAAAATTATGTTGAAAACTGAAAACGAGAAAATTAAAATTTTCAATCCAATATCTTGGTGACGTACAAAATTCATAAATTTCAATCTTATTCGTTTCAAAACTTGAAACACTACGAACACGCAAATTATTAAGATCCATGTGAATTTGTCAAATATCAATAGTAAATTTCCAATAGATGATATATCCTTGGTTTTTTCAACTAGTACGGACAAATGCATCAAACGAGAAGGATATGCCGATTGCGAGAGCACTTTTTCGAAAAGAAACCCAGTTAAACATGCTATATCAGCTTCGCCATTAATAACTGCCTCACAACCATCACCATAGCTTTCTTTCTTAACTAATTTAGCAGTTGCATTAATTGCTTTTAAAAATGTCATTACAAAATCAAATTCAGTTCCTCTCATAGTACCATCTTTTTTATAGGCATAAGGATAAACAATCCAATAAGCTACTTTTATTTTATGTCCGTACAAATTATTAAGCTTATTTGGAAATATCGTTGTCGATGCGGATAGTTTTAAGCTTCGAATTTCATCTTTGAAAGGATTATAGGTAACTACTTGAAGATCATTAGAAAAATCTATGTGGACTATTCCGAGGTTGACTAACTTGTTTTCTATCCACATAGCTTTGAGTACAGACTTGAACGTGTCGGCTTCATCAAACTCATTTAATCCAATTAAAATATATTTTGAATAAATATCCCAAGTTTTGCAACAACTCAATACCTTTTTAACAATATCAACACTGTCTTCAATATAATCAACGAACACAATTGTCAGTCTTAAGGTCATACCTCCATTCAATTGATATTCAGGTATTTTATTTAAAATAATGAATGAAGTTGATTGATGGGCTGGTGGTGTTGTTGATAAAAATGAATTTATTATGTCATCTGTTTCTGGATTCTCACTAGCTTCGAGAATACCAACAGTAGGAATATCTTCTAGATGTTGTAAGACCAATAAATTATTTTTCAAAAATAACGATATTTGTTCGATTTTTCTGTTATTACTTGTTTTGCTGAAGCACTCATATTTTTTGGTTAAAATAATAATAAATAATATTATGTAATACATTATTGCAGGACGGCTCATCGGAAATAAAACCTTGCTGGGCTTTATTTTGAACAAATATAAATTTGAAAGCTTTAGAGTAATGAACAAATAATGTAATTTCCAAATTGTACACAAATTCAATAAAAGATAGGTAATTTAAGATATGGAAAACAAATTTATTATTATTAGTAGGTGATTTTTTTGCTGGTAGTATGTATGTTATCATTTATCAATATCAATATTCGTCACAATTCCAATATATTAATTCTCAAGAAAAAAAACGTGTGTAAGTACATGAGACAGTAGCATATTGAAAATTCATTTTAAAAAAACTTCTTTGGGGACACAAATTATTCAAATGTCTCTAAATTCGTTTTCGGACAGAGCGCCGACTTAAAAATATATCATCATGATGTATGATTTTTTTTTTTTTAAATTTCGTAGTGTTACCAATAAAGTCTCTTTGGCTTTGTTTCGAAAATCTACCGGAAACGAGTCATTGTGCCCGGCAGGATGCAAACATTTTCACTATACCTACCTACAATTCAGCAATCGTCTCTATTTCTCTATAGTTCCTAGTGGCGCCAATTAATCGGGTAGCGGAATGAGGAAATGGCGTGAAATCGATCACGAAGTTTTTGAAAACCATGGCAAAGTTAAAATCGCATGATGTTGGTTCTACATTCTCCATCAAATACTGTTTGGCTAAAAGTATGTAGAATATTTATGCCATTTTTTTTTTCTTACCAAATTTCCAATAACATGAATACCGTACATCCTGAATATATTTCATAATTGTTATTGCCAATGTAAGGATATTCTTGTATCTATAGGTAGAGACAATATGTTACTTTCTGGTGCTTCGTTTAAAATTTTAAACGAGGGGACGTATTTTTTGGTACCTTTGGATAGGAGAAAATATTTTGTTTTGCAAGAATAGAGTCATGTATTTTTTCAAATTGTAGTGCAGAATTTATTATTTAAGAGATAATACTTTTTATTTTATTTTAAAACTTGGTATTTATGTAGGGGAAAGTGTTCCATAATGCGACAAAAATTGCGTTTTGGTGAATAGCCAGAAGTTATGATTCAATTTTGTAATTTAGATGTTGCATGCTCATAAATTGACATGTTTCATGTAATTTCACGCAATAAAATTATTCTTATATGGATTCAAAAAATAAATTTTTTCAATACGCGATTTTCGTCTCATTGTGGAACAAGTATGTGAGACAAGTCCTTTTAGTTTCACACCAAAAAACACTATAAAAAATATTGAAAAAAAAAACATTTATAAAAGAAAAATAACCATTCTTTTAAAAAAAAAAAGTAGAGCAACTTAAAATATTAATCCGACAAATCAAAAATATATTAAAACCCTTCAAAATATGGACGCACATTTAATGAGGTTGAATTTACTTCAAAACTTATTAGAGACTGTTGCCTCTTAGTGTTTCCAGTCGTTAAATGATTGAAAAGTATTAGCATGATGTTTTTTGGTTCGACCATATAATATGTACTTATATCTTCTGTTACGGGGTAGAAAAAACAGTTGTCAGATCGTCTCATTGTGGAACAAAACCAGGTGTCTCATTGTGGAACTTTTTCGATATTTTTTAAAGAAGTTGGCAAAAATTTATCGATTGTTTTGAACATCCCTACTTCATGCAGAATCCTAACCTAGACATGCCTAAACAATTTCGGAATTTCAAATTTATCAAAAAAGCACCAAATTTGATTTAATCACCAATTGAAATATCGAGTATAAAAAAAATAACCCCAATTTGAGCAATGGTAGTCACTAAATAAGTTTAAAATTTGCTAAATTTCGTAAAAACTGTAGGAGCACATGCACAAGTAGTTATGTTCGACGGTCATCATGTTTCATTGTGGAACATGTCTCATTGTGGAACACTTTACCCTACAACTATTATTTTTTTAATTTCAAATCAAATCAAATATAATAATATAATTTGTATATTAATAATTTCTAAGTATGTTTGTAAAATTGTGTACCTGTTAGTTAAGTTAGCCATATAAAAAGTGACCCACCATATAGTTTTAAGTAGTCTGATGAAGCTACAGTGTAGCGAAACATGTTACTGTTCAGAGCTGGGCAAGCTACTTGGAAAAAGTAGCTAGCTACAAGTTACAAGCTACTTTATATTGTAAATAGCCAAGTTACTCAGTAGCTCAACTACCTCTTTAAAAAAGTAGCTATGCTATTGGTAACTTAACTACATATTAGTGGAAGCTACTATTTAAGCTACTTTTTTGAAAGTTAAATTAATAAAAACAAAAAAACGTGCACAATCGTCACCATCAATGTATTTGTATGTACATACCTTACCTAATTTAATTTCATAATATCATCATACGAAAATAACATTTTAACTTTCCCTAGGAAGTAGTATTCATATTTTTGTTAAAAACCACTGGACATTAATTTATTAGGTTCACTTTGATCACAGTAATCTGCAAATGCGAGAATAAAACAGGACACATAAAACATAGGTACCTACAGAGATAAGTAGGAACTAGTCTAAGCAAGGCAGGATAAGATTTTTCCGGAAAATGATAATTGTAGCTTCAGCAATTAAAGTATAAAGTTACTTTTATCGAGCGGTAAATTCAACTTACTGCCCGCGTAGTTGATCTCACCGTCTCTTTTAGAAGATAAATCAGCTAGAATTATTAATTATATTCACTCAAGAACTATACCTACACATATTATTACCAAAATCGGTGTGGATAATCATGGAAAATATAAAAGTTGTTGATTTTTGGAAGATTTACAAATACAGAAGTTGCTATTTTTTTAGAGGAAACGTGTCTTTATATAAAGGGGAAGACTGTTTATTTTTGAACTAGAAGAGTCCGCTGTGCATAAAACCATTGGGTACATTCAGGCGGTGCCAGCGGCTTAGTTCAGCTACTCAGCAGGAACTTTATTCTCGAAACGGGGGAGCAGCGTTCTCATTGGAACGAAGGTTCTGTCTTTGTCGTCCAGCATAACACTGACAATGACAGAGTAATCGTTCTTATGAGAACGCTGTTCCTTGGTTTCGAGAATAAAGTTCCTGCTGAGAGGCTGAGCTAAGCCGCTGGGACCGCCTGAATGTACCCATTGTTAAACGTAATAATTATTTTGGGCGTTAAGTGTCGTTAATCACACTCTCGGGCGGTAAATAACACTTTCCTCAATTAATACCTAAGTAACTATTAACTATCTACCACAAAAGTATCTTAAATAGCTGTTTTAGTAGCTAGCTACTTTTCACAGTAGGTAGCTTATGAATACATGGAACACATTACCAAAAGCTACAGCTAAGCTACTTTTTTCCAAAGTAGCTTGAATAAGTTATTAGCTACCAAAAAAGTAGCTAAGTTAGTAGCCTAACTACTTGGTAGCTAGCTACTGCCCAGCTCTGTTACTGTTGTAAATAAATTAGTGAAAATTAAGTAAAAATACTTGTAATTACTTTTTCCAACCATGAAAAAATTCTCATCTTCACTTAAGCCGTGATGACCTCTAGTGGAAAAATTGAGATCTTCAGCTAAGTACTTTGGTCTTCAATGGAGTCGAATAAATTTCTTGGTACAAGAAAATTGGAAAATTAAGTACCTTGGGACAAGGAAATTGTTTTTAATACACTGGGATAGTGTTCTTGAGACAAGAACTTATTTCTTTTCAGTAAAGTTTTCGAACGATCCTGTCGATCCTATGAGAAGAAAATATTTACCTTTTTTGAAGAGAATATTCACTTGGCCATATCCAAAGTCACAATTTCATTGAATAGAGTGCGTATTTTTTTGAATTAGGGAATCCTTTTTTTCAGTGAATGCTAGGCACGCCGACTCGCATGCAAGCCAGGGACGGAATTCTCTCGGTCACAAAATAAGGCTTGCATAATTGCCTAGGATTAAGCCCATACAAATACCTCAATGCTCTCTTTTGGATAACGAAGACCTGCCGAAAATAGGTATGCCGCACAAGATCCCCAAAAACAGATGCCATATCTCAAATGGCTCTCCACAACAGAGAGATATACGCTTCTGGCAATAGTCCTATCCAAATGGGATCTGAAAGCCCGGACAGCACAACACCCCGATGAGAGCCTGCCGCACAAGGCTGTTATATGAAAATTAAACCGTAACCTGGAATCCACAAGTAGACCCAAAAATTGCGCTGGAGAGCCAGTCTCGATCACCCCGCTGGCAACCGAAACCTCACCCAGATGTCCCTTGAAATTAGGAATAAGAATTTGTTTTGGAGAAATTAAAGCTGAGCTTATTTGATACACACCAATCTCTAACTGCCCCCAGTTCAACTTCAACAATGTCACGAAGGTTCCTGTGGTGCCAGAGAATGGTAGTGTCATCAGCAAATGATGTGAAATGGCCCTGAGAAATTGAGTGTGGAAGGTCATTAACGTCGATAAAATATAGCAGGAGTCCCAAAACTGACCCCTGCGGAACTCCAGCAGTCAAGAGACCCACCGCAGACTGCTCACCCAGAAACTCCACAACCTGCTGGCGGCCTGAAAGATAGGACCTGAACCAGCGCAAAATTGTTCCTCTAAAGCCATAGGTGTCAAGTTTCCTCAGCAAAACCTCGTGATCAACACATTCGAAGGGCTTTGCTATGTGGCAGAAGACTGCCGAGGCTGCTTTACCTTCATTGAAACTGAGATAATAGTATTTCCAAGAGATTGAAAATTGCATCTTTTGTGTTCTTCGAACACTGAAATTCAAACTGGGAAGGTGAAAGCAATTGATGATGATTCAAGAAATCACGCATTCTAGTCTTGAGGAGGCCTTCAATGATCTTCCTGAGCGTAGGGAGCAAGGAGACTGTTCTGTAGTTTGATGGGGACTCCTTTTCCCCCGCGTCATAGAAAGGTATTACAATAACCTGTTTCAAGAAGAGTGGAAAGTTGCCAGATTTGAAAGAAGTGTTAATGGCACCAGCAAGGGCATTAACAGCAGGAGGGGTTAGGGAAGAAAATATCTTGATAGACATATGATCACACCCGCTA